TGTTGGAGTTACTAACATCCTCAAGCCCAATGGTCGGCGGGAGCCGCACGTGCCGGCGTGTACCATGATTCATCCCGTTCTGCGAGTGGTCATGCCAATCTCATCACGAATTGTCGGTCGCTCCATTTTTGGGTTTCCAGTCAGGCAAAGTCCTAAGTTGCGGATTCAGCAATGCTAAGTCCATTGCAATCATGAACCATCAACCTGCCTTCAACTGTGAAATGCAAAGCTCCCATGACTCCATGACAAATGGCCATGGGTCAAAAGCCCGTACCCGCAGTGAACATCCCAATCCCCACCAAAATAGGTTCTAAAATGGGTGATGCACCTACCCCAAAATGGTAGTTGTGGTTTTGACCCCTGGCCAAATGACAATCATGAAACATGAACCAGCTGCCTTAACTCCAATCTCTCCAAGACTCATAGCAGGGGAAGCCAGCAACGTCGCCTTCTCTCAGCAGCGCGGACCAGAAACACACGGCTCCCGCCAAGCCCTGGGGCAAGTCAATTCACAAGCCGGTGTGGTAGCTGTTGCTGAGGTCACGATTTACACACTTACACACACCGGCCCGGGTGCATGATGCGCTGGAAGAAAGCCCGCACCAAGAGAGAGAGAGAGAGAGAGAGAAAGCCATAAGAAAGACTCCACGGAGTGTGTTACTGCAGTCTTTGCGTAGCGTTCACAAAGTTGAAAGCGAGGTTCGCACGGCATCTTACGGAGTGCGTGGTAATGAAAGTGCCGCCTGAGAATGTGGGCCGTTGGGGTCGGGGGCCGTTGGGGTCGGGGGCCGTTGGGTTTCGATTCATCGGGCCTCGCGCGCTCGGGGTAGCATTGGCAGAGTGAAAAGGCGGGCGGGGATGCGCGTGGCTGAAATGTGTCAAAGTGGTAGCTTGCGGAAAGACAACTCTTCGCAGAACACCGAGGCTTGCATGCTTGTGTAGCGCGTGCGTGTCGCAAGGACTCCCGGAGTCTTGGCTTACGCGTTCCCGTGAGTTTCCCACCCCAAAGGGATCAACAGCTTGATATGGCCACGTGAGGTTGAAGCTCAAAGCCAAACATCATCGATGTTGGGCCTCGTAGATTCACTGCAGTCCGCGCCTCAAACAAAGAATACGGTCGGTCTGCTAGAGGTAGCAACTCATCTCTGTGCCTGGACGCCGGGCACTGAGCCTCCCTCTATCAAAGCATTGCTCAAAGTCAGGTAAGTCATGTCGCCACGGGTTAGTCTGAAAATCAAAAGGAACACCGGCGGGGGGTCCTCCAAAAAAGTACACATCCATAATGCGGATGGACAAAATACATTGCGCACCACCATTCAGAAACCCTGGCTTCAGTCTCAGAGATTCGCTTGTAGATACCAACAAACTTTACGGATTCAACCATGGTTTCTTCGTGGTGCAGTTTTTGATTTTCCCCCGGCAAATACCAACAAGCAATGGTTGCAACCATGGTTTCATTTCGCGGTGCAGCCTGAGATTTTGCTTTTCCCCTCCACAGAAAGCTGGGTGCCTCGCTCTATGGCGAAGCTTGCAAAGTGCAACGCTCGATGCCGCCAAACTTCCCCTGGGATTCATTCGCTGCGCCGATCTTTTGGGTGTGCTCCCCAAGAGTTGGTTGGTCTCCTTTGGGTTTCCCTTCAAACCCGACCCCAAACTTGCTGGTGCGATAGGCAGGGAATCAGAAATGGAATGACCCCTATAACCCCCCAACTGGTAGTATCCTTCAAGGGGACCAAACCTGGGTTCATTCCATTGCTCATTTCCCACCCATCGCGCCGATCGCAAGGAAAAGGGGCTCCCAAAGGACGAGCTCCCCATCTCCAGCACATGCGAAGCCAGAAGCCATCGCCTGTCGGGCAGAGGCTCAGCAGAGCGAAGCCGTTCCCGGAGATTCCGTGACACAAACCGGGGCCTGGCAAGGGCGAACGCTGGGTGGCTCGTCTCTTTCCCGTTTGGTTGGTCTTCTTATTCTTTCTTTTGCGGGGAAACCCGAAAGGAAACCCGCTTTGCCCAGCTCGGTGTGACCGCTGACAGCTGACTCTGAGACCCCCACCTTTCTTCAGAAGGCCACGGACCCAGACCTCAAAGCTCCGTTAAAAAAAAAAAGGCGAAAACGGGTAATATGTGCCCCTGGCCCCCTGCCATTTTTCTGGTTGTAAAGGAACCCCCCGCCCCCCCCCAAAAAAAAAACACAGGCTGTTTCCTTTGAAGATCTTCTTTCAAAAAAAAAAAAAGGAGAAAAAAAAAAGGAAAAAAAACGGCTATGATGGCCATGGGTGTGTCTTTGGAATAGAGGACACCCAAAATTGCTTGCTTCAAAAGCCACTACAAAAAAAAGAAAGAAAGACACACCCCTATGTCCGCTACGCCAGCATGTTTACGCCCGAATACGCTCTTGTGCGCACCAGGTCTAGTCGGCGTCTGAGAACCGAGCGACCTGACCAAGTTGATGAGCCAACTCCATGTAGCGATCCCCGTACAAGGCTGCAAGACCTGCCATGCTCAGAAACCTCTTCACAACACACGGCCATTGGTCAAAATCCAAGTCGTACCCCGCAGTGAACATCCCAATCCAACCACTAAAATAGGTTCTAAAATGGGTGGTGCACCTACCAAAAAAATGGGATCCCATATTGGTTTTGACCCACAGCCATGGATGTGGCTGAAAGAATTGGGAGCCAGGACATCGCACACTCTGGGCTTCTTGTCCATCTACCAGGGCTCCATGTTCCACTAGGTGGCTTGCACCACAGTGTCTCCTTTTTGTTTGAGGGTATGTCTTTTAGTTGGTTTCAAAGGAACACCAACGTGAAGCCAATTTGGGGGAACCCCTTTTGAGACATACCCCCGAAGCGAGCTCGATGGAAAAATCCTGCCGAAGCGAGCTGGGAATGCGCAGCGCCAAAGGAATGAGGCCTGCTGCACCGTGGCAGAATTGCACGAGTCTGTCCTCCATGCTGGTTCCATGGGCAGGGAATCAGAATTGGAATGACCCCTATCAACCATCCAACTAGTGGTTTCCTTAAAGATCCCTGGGTTCATATCCACCTTCCCTATCGCACAGCAAGCCATGCGATGCACGACGCGTGAAAAACGCGTCAAAAACATCAGGGCAGCGGCTCCTTGCCGTTGCCCAGCGAAGATGCTACGTTCCCACTTCTGAATCTGCAGTCCTGTCGCTCGTGGGATGTGCCAGCAAAACATCTACAAACCCAAGGAATTGTGTTGCTGGCTGAAGACCCATCGGATTCACACCATCTGGGGGGGTTGTCAAAAATGAGTACCCCTTGTGGGCCTTGGTTCATGCGGGGCCCGTTAGAAAAGTGTCCGAGAAGGGTCCTTCCTCTTGAGAACCCACCATCTGACACTGCCACTTGAGCATGTTTGACCATCGATTCTCCGACTCTCAACGTCGCATGTTCTCTTAGACTCCATGGAAACTCTTGGCACACGAAAAAAGGTCTCTCCAGAAGCTTGTCCGCAGTGCGGCGGACTAGATCTGGAGAATCAACTCCTGCCTCAAGACCGTCTTTGCGTCTGAAGACAGCAACACTGATCTTCAACGATACGCGAAACGCCGCATGGCCATGGGCTTTTCAAAATCCAAATCGGTTAGCCCCCAGTGAACATCGCAATCCAACCACCAAAATAGGTTCTAAAATGAGTGGTGCACTTACCCCAAAATGGTACCATTGGTTTTGACCCACAGCCGCATCTGCATTGCATGCTAAGTGATTGGCAAGAGAGAGTTCTGCTGGAAGCTGCAGCAAAGTGCAAAGGATGCCAGCAATTCCATGAGCACCACCTAAATAGCACCTTGGCAAGGGCGCCAAGGGGTGGTTAGTGCTTCTGAATCTCCAAGTTGACAAAACGATGATCTGCAAAAAAAAAAAAAAAAACATATCGCGTAGCTGAACGTACTTGAGGCCGCTGGCTTGTCATGCCACTCAAAACACAGCGGCCATCCATCTTTAGCATCCCTTTTTCCTGCTGGTGAGCATTCAGCCGATGGCTCATGCATTCAGTCGGCTCTAGACCCACCTGCCGCTATGACCTGCGACACCAGCTCGGCTGCTTGACCAGCGAGCAACCGCGGATCCTGACAGTGCGCAAATGTGAAAATGGTTTCTCCTGTCCACAGGTTCAAAATTGCTTCGGTTGCCCAAAAAACATAAGAGTCTCAAGTTGTCAAGTACGTCTGATTCTTCGTGCGGCGCCAAACATTGTGCCATGTCCCAATCGTGCGTCCCTTGAATGAGGCACGAATCGCGGGAGTGTATGTGTCAGAACAAATGAAACCAGTCCCGTTCAACATCGATACCCAAAGCCAACATGCAAAACCGAATTCAGAACGTGCCTGGGCTGTCTGGGGAATGGCGTCCTTGATTTGGCTAGTTTTGGGATGCGTCTTCTTTCATGGTTCATTTCTGCCACTGGGTTGGTGTGTTCCGTATCAGCAGGTGTCCAAGCCACCCACATGGATTAAACCGCCACATCAACAGCAAACGCTAGCGCTTGAGGCCAGCCTCAAGCGAGCCAAGAAAGGGATCAGCGCGTTTCGCGTTTTGGGGGGCTGACCCTTTCGGGAAGCTTCACTCGCTGACGGCCGATTGAATCGGTATGGGCATTGCCTAGCACCACGACATCTGTGTTTTGTGCTGTTTCACTTTGTCATGTTATATGAAATTGTCCTCAAACAGTGCGTCTACATCAAGTTCTTCTGGTAAGAAGAAAGAGCAAAGCAGGCCTAGCTTAGGCGACGGCGTTGTTTCGTGTGAGCCGGCTTGCG